TTCAAACTCTAATTTTCATATATATATATATATATATATATATATATATATATTATATTCCTGTATATTTTGTTTGCCTTAACTTCTTGTGTTTGAATCTACTACAACTGATGTACATCATCTCCCCAGAATACATTGCACTGGAAAAATTATTGCAACATCCTTGTGAGAAAAATGTAATTAGCATTTATAATTTTTAAAGTAATTCTGAGTTTTCACATGTCAAACAATAACAACTTTTAGTAGAAGGAAAACAAGCATGTCGAGGCCAACGTGCAGGTAGTCAGAGAAGTCTTTAAAGCAGTATGTTCTGAAAGGAACCCCAGGATTGACTTTTTGCTGCAGCTCTAAAAACGAGTTCACACCTCAGAGTAAAACCTGCTGAGGGGCTGCTAATAATCATTTTCTCTCTTCTCACCTCCAGGTTACGTCGGCAGCATGCAGCCCCCTCACAAGCCCTCACTAATACATGTTGAACTTAAGAACAGCTCTTGAGTGCACTGGACTGAAGTGGTTCAGCTTGAGCCCCGACTTAAACTCCATCCAACATCTCTGTGGAGACTTGAAAATGGCTCCGCCAACCAGACTGAGCTTAAAAGTGGGCAGAGAATCTCCTGAGCTGGATGTGTGAATCTTGTTGCATGAAACTCAAAAAGACGAGTTTAAAACTGCTGTCAAAGATGCTTCAATTCAGGACAAAATAGAAGGTATGAATACAGTAGTCCCCCGCTACTTCGTGGTTCGACTTTCGTGAACTCGCTCTATCGCAGTTATTCAAAGTAAACTTGTACATGACACACAACTGGCTGATTGATGGATGAGTCACACGATTGGCATGGTGCTTTCATTTAAAATAAATTATTTTAAATGATTTAGCACCTGCTGCACCAGCCCACATGTGCAGGGAGAAGCTCCCTCTTGCAGCATGTCATGATCTCTGCCACCTGCCAGCGATTGCAGCAGAGAAGTGGGCGTGGCCGAGAGCGCTGGCAGGTGGTGGAGATCAAGACGTGTGCTCTTAGAGCTGTCACGGGGGGCAGGGAACAGAACCCCTGCGATAAACGAGGCACTACTGTACAGTGGTGATGGAAAGTTTATGAACGCTTTATAATTTTCTATATTTCTGCATAAATATGATCTAAGGTCGTTTTCACACCAGATTGTCCGGTAGACTCAGTTCGGGACCAATATTCATGAGCTTTTGTTTACATTTGAGCTGGTGCGTTTGCATTCACACTGCACTGTGCAGTGAGCCAACCTGTTGAACCAACCTATTCCCCCCCTCGCCTGTGGGGGCGCTGCACCAAGAACTACTGAAAGAAACGACACAAAAACCTCTGAAGACACGTCCTCTTCTTCTGTAAATAAAATGAAGTGGCATCAAGTTTTAGCAGTTTTAGGAGTTATAGTTTGTCTTTTTTCAAAAATGGACTTAGCATGAGCAGAAGATGAGGCAGAAGACCATGGAGAATATTGTTTTTCACACAAGGCAGCTGACGGCTCCATATGAGGTCAGAGAAATGAGTGTTTGTTTACCCTGCGGAGCGAGTCCGGTCTGTTTACATTCACACTGTACTCGAACCGCGCTGGAGTTCTCTTCTACCGGACCAAGACCTAGGTTTTAGCCGGGGCCAGAGTTCACCTTTTTGTTCCGTGACAGAGTTCGATGGCGCGT